TTATTGCTTCTACTGCTTTCTTCAGTGACGTGTTTGAAGTTTGGAGACAATTTATCTCCAATAGGATTTAAGCATGGAACAAATTGTGCCTTTTTGACACATGATGAGGATCGTAACATTGGAGACATTCCTCATGGCTGATGTACAAATAAGAATTGTGCTCCACAGTGAGTAGCAGAAGCCTCAAAACATGGAAATGGGTGTAAGTAGATTGGGTTTTATTTTACTAAATGAGAAGGGAAATATTTTAGGGTAGTTCATCAGTCAGAATTCTCTAGAGAAACAGGACCAAGAAGATTATATGAGATATATATATATATATATACATATATATATATATATAATTGACTAGAATTGGTCAATGTGATGATGGTGACTCAGCAAGATACAACTCTGAAGAGAGGGTGGCAGGCTGGAGGTCCAGGGAAGAGTTTCAGTTTGAGTTCAAATCTAAAATCCAGAGGCAGTCAGCAGTCTGCTGGCAGAATTTTCTTACCTACAGGGAAGGTCCATCTTAATTACGAAAGCTTTCAACTGATTGGATGAGGTCCTCCACATTATGGAGGGTAATCTGCTTTATTCAAAGCCTACTGGTTTCAATGTTAATCTCATCTATAAGAATTTCTCCACAGAAACATGTTTGACCAAATATCTGGGTACCATGGCTCAGCCAAGTCTGCACATAAAATCAATCATCACGGGCGGGCAGTTGAGGGTTGTTACGTCAGCTGTAAGCTATCAACAGGGACCTATGGTCTTTTCGTTTTGTTGTTGTGTTGTTTTTCTTTTTGTTTTGAGATGGGGTCTTGCTATGTTTCCCAGGCTGGTCTCAAATTCCTGGGCTCAAGTGGTCTTCTACCTCAGCTTTTCAAAGTGTTGAGATGACAGGTGTGAACCACCATACCTGGTCCTTTCAGTGTTTTTGTGCTTTCGTTTTTAATACATGGCTTTTATCTTCCAGAATATGCAGTATTCTCAACAAACTGACACAAGAATAGAAAACCAAACACTGCATGTTCTCACTCATAAGTGGGTGTTAAAAAATAAGAACACATGGACACAAGGATGGGAACATCACACACTGGGGCATGTCGGGGGTGGAGGGTTAGGGTGGGGTAGCAGGGGGTGGGAGGATTGGGTAGGAATAACATTAGGAGAAATACCTAATGTATATGACAGGGGGATGGAAGCAGTAAACCACCATGGCATGTGTATACCTATGTAACAAACCTGCACAATCTGCACAGGTATCTCAACTTAAAGTATAATTTAAAAAAAAAAAGGATCATAAGAAAGGTTCTCAATCTCATAAGAAAGTTCCTTTTCCTCAGCCCTTTGGTTTGATACTAACTATGTGCCCTTGAATTTGACATACAGATGCCACTCCTAATGCTCAGAACTAGCAGAGATGTTATGGGTGAGGCAGAAGGGTGGGTAATGTGCTTCTCTCTTCCATCAGTGGGTGAACATCTTTTTGGTTATGGAACTCCTTAAACATGGAATATAGCTTTGGCTTTGATCTCCACAAACGCCTTTCTGCTTTTAAGCAGCAACTTTATATTTTATTTTAGAGAGTCTATAAATCTGAGATGCTCTCTCACAGAACTCTAGTTGAGAGATTTGCCCTTGCAGTTAGAATGCACCTCTAACAGTAGGATGTATCAACTCTGTGCTCCAGCTTCTCTCCTCAGTTTCAATTCACACAGCAATTCATCCCCAAACTCTCTAGCTAGATAGAGTGGATAGTATTCCACAAAAACCGTTATTTCAATGAAAGATATAATTAGGATTGTATCATGGAGTTTGTTGTATTTTCCTTTAGCCAACAATCTTTTAGCAAAAATTAAGGAACATGTGGAATTTCTATGGCAGACAGGCCTAGGTCATGGAACCTCAGCTCTGTCTGAATAATGCAGAATCTTGAAGTAAAAAAAAAAAAAAAAAAAAAAAAAAAAAAAAAAATACTACACAGAGAGATCTCTGTTATTGGGCTCTAGTGGAAGGCACATTAGATGTGGAAAAAAAAGCATTAACTAGCTCTGTTATTTATAATTTGGGTTCTTTTGTAGGTGCTTTCTGTGCCTTTTTCTTCTCATATATCATGAAGATAGTCATGCTTAGCCCATGGAGTTATTGCAATTACCAAACAAAATCATGTGGCTAGTATACCAGAGGCACTCCATGACTGGACGAATTCTTGTATGAGAGCACACATCCCATGCTTACACGCCGTATACATCAGCAAATGCTTATGATACAACCACTATAAAAAATACTCACAATACATAAAGGCCTTCGAACTCAGAGATGTGTTCTTTGCACAAGAGCCAACAGGTATGTGAGCATGTGAAATGCAATGTCCCTTCCATAAAGAAATATAAAACAAATTTAAATAAGCTGAGGTGAAAAACAATTCACTTCCTTAATTCTTTATCCTTATAGGCTTAAGTAACCTCAAACCAAAGCATAATTATGGGCATATACTAAATATAGACACAAATAAAACTCATAAATGTTTGAGGGAAATTATATCCTGCTAGGATAAGGATAATGGTTTTTCTATGTTTGGTGTTTTTAAAAGTGCTTTCTTTACTCTGATTATAGGTAATTCAAGGTGAACAGATGTCTTTTGACTCAATGACTCAAGGGGTTGAGCATCTCCACCCCTGTGGCACTGCAGGGTAGAGCCCCCATGGCTGCCTTTACAGGATGGCATTGAGTGACTGAGACTTTTATGGGTGCACGGTGCAAGCTGTGGGTGGATCTAACATTCTGAGGCCTGGAAAATGTTGACACTCTTCTCACAGCTCCACAAGGCAGTGCCTCAGTGGCGTCTCTGAGTGGGGTCTTCAACCACACATTTCCCCATTCATACTACCCGAGAAGAGGTTCTCCATGAGGACTCTGCCCCTGCAGCAGACTTCTGCCTGGACATCCAGATGTTTCCATATTTCCTCTGAAATATAGGCAGAGGCTTCCAAGTGTCAGCTCTTGCCCTCGGTGCACCAATAGGCTTAGCACAACAAGGAAGGTGCCAAGGTTTTTGGGCTTGCACCCTCTGGAGGAGCGGCCTGAGAAATACCTGGGGTCCTTTTAGCCACAGCTGAAGCTGGAGAGGCTCGGATTCTGGATGCCATGTCCTGAGGCTGCAGAGAGTGGTTTAGCCCTGGGCCTGGCCTACAAAACCATGGTTCCCTCCTAGGTCTTGAGGCCTGTGTTGGAAGGGGCTGCTGCAAAGGTCTCTGAAATGATGTAGAAGCATTTTCCCCATTGTCGTGACTATTAATATTCAGCTCCTCTTTACTTGTTCAAATTTCTGAAGCCGGCTGGAATTCCTCCTCTGAAAAGGGGTTTTCTTTTCTACCACATGGCTGAGTTGCACATTTTCCAAATTTCTATACTCTGCTTGCCTTTTAAATATAACTTCCAGTAGAGATCATTTCTTTGTTTATGAAAATGACCACAGGCTTTCAGAAGCAGATTTGCTGCGTAGAAATTTCTTCTGCCAGATACCTTAACTCATCTCTCTCAAGTTCGAAGTTCCACACATCTCCCAGGCAGGGGCACAACACTGCCAGTCTCTTTGCTAAAGCATAGCAAGTGTGACCTTTGCTCCAGTCCCCAATAAGGTCCTCATCTCCATCTGAGCCCTCCTCAGCCTTGACTTCTGTCTATATCACTATCAGGATTTTTGTCACAACCATTCAACAAGTCTCTAGGAAGTTCCAAACTTTCCCTCATTTTCCTGTCATCTTCTGAGCCCTCCAAACTGTTCCAACCTCTGCCCGTTATCCAGTTGTAAAGTTGCTTCCACATTTTCAGGTGTGTTTATAGCAATTCCCCCACTTTTCTAGTCCGATTTTCCATATTAGATCATTTTCACATTGCTATAAAGACAGACCGGAGACTGGGTAATTTATTTAAAAAAGAGGTTTGACTGACTCATGGTACTATGGGCTGTACAGGCGTCTGCTTCTGGAGAGGCCTCAGGAAACTTACAATCGTGGCAGAAGATAAAGGGAAGCAGGCATAACTTCACATGGACAAAGCAAAGAGAGAGGAAGAAAGAAAGAGAGAGGGAGAGAGAGATGGAAAAAGAGAGAAAGAGGGAGAGAAAGCACAATGGGGGAACTGCTACATACTCTCAAATAACCAGATGTCATGAAGTCTCACTCAATATCATGAGAACAGAGAGGAGGAAATCTACTTCCATGAGCCAGCCACCTCCCACCTGGCCCCTTCTCTAACATTGAGGATTATAATTCAACATGAAATTTGGGAGGTGACATAAGCCAAACCATATCAGACACCATACATTCCAAATTCCCAACCCAACCATATATATGATCAGAAACCTGCTAGTACCTAGTTAACCAAACGAAAGTTAATATGTAGGACTGATTTTATAACCTCCACTGTTCAGGGATACTAAAAATTCCCTTCTACAAATGAAATGGACCCCCTAAAAAGATCACCCTTCCTTTTTTTCATAAATCTATTGCTTGATGATAATAAGATTTAGATTTTCCCTTTCAGAATATTCTGCAAAATAAGATAGTTGGGATCTTGGATCGGTATTTCCTAAACTCAGTTCCTGAGAACACTAGTAGGTATGTGAACTTAATAAATATTCATACTAAACATGAAACTGTAGCTAGTTTGGAAAATGCTAGCTTTGAAAATTAGGCAAGTTTCTTTACATCATGACACCCTGAAATCACTAATAGGATAACTTGTGTTGTAAGGGTTGTTGTATTATTTCACAAAAGTAAATAGGAGAAGACTTTAGCTCAGAGAGGCCATTTTATTCTTTCACCAAGCATTTTAACTGTACAATGTCTTTTGTCTTCAACTCGAGGCAGCACAGCAGAGTAATTGAGAAGACCACAAATCCTGCAGCCAGAGTGTCTAAATTCAAATCCCAGCTCTATCACTTTCTAGCTGTGCCATCTTGAGAAATCACTCTCTCTTTTCTCTCTCTCTCTTTTCCCCCCACACAGTTTCACCTCTCCCTCAGTGTTCTTATTGATAAAATGGGGATGAAAATACTACCGAACTACCAACTTCATGACGTCACTGTGAAGATGAAATGAAGAAAGCAGTTAGAATAGCCTGACACGTAATAAATGGTAAGTAAGCTATAGTTTAGAGATAAAAACAAATCACATAGAGAAAGATCTTTATGTAAAATACAAGTTAAATATAATATTTCCCTTTATTTGTGCTTGTTAGACATTTGAACCTTTACTGAGTTTTAGTATTGCACATTTTATTCCACACCAAGTGAGAAAAAAAGGTAAACATGAAGGGGAAAGGAAAAATAAATTCTAGTTATGACTTAGAGAAATAATGGGACTGTGCCATTTTGGGGACAGACAAGAGTAAATATGCATTTGTAGGTGGGGTTTGAATGGCTCTAGTCTATGTAGTCATATGTAGAAATATGAGTCAGGCAATATTATTGTGACTATTTCCAACGTGAGCACTTTGAAAAATAGAGAAGCTGTGTTATCTAAGCATAAACTTCAATTATTTCACAAAACTGAGATCTGAGTACAGGTATTCCTTGCTCTGAAACTCACTTTACTAATCGTTACATTTTTACTTTATTCTTGTAGCAACATCTCAAGCAATTGGTTTTATCTACACAGGTTGTCAATGAAAAACTTGTTGGCACAGATGAAATAATTCCCTCAGGACACAGAAATCTGGAAATTATTCCTCTTCTCTCTTCACATCTTCTTCCCCTGCCTCCCGCTAAGGAACAATAATTCTCTGCAGCTGGTCATGAAAATTCAGTTCTAGAATTTACAAAGTATCTTTAATTTTAGACACACATGTCTTGTTTTGTAACGAAATTTTACAATAGAGTAATTGGCATTTAGATTGTAAACTGCTGTTTGTCACATTTAATTGATGTTTTGGTTGCTTCCACATTGTGGGGGAGTGAGGGTGATGTTATGGTGCTCTTGGGTGTTTTGAGTGTTCCCTAAAGCTATCCAAAAATGGGGCTAGTGAAAGCTATTTTTGGAGGTGCTGAAATAATTTCAGTGGGAAAGTGGTCCAGGCCTCAGATGTTGAAGAAATTCCTGAAATGCCGTTCACTGACTTGACCACTTCTCCCCAGGCTGAACATGAACTGAAATAAGAGGCCACCTGGTGCGTTCGATTCTTGTATGCGTGTCAGTGCTCAAATTGCTCCAGATGATCTGAGGGGCTGTGAAAGCGGGCTATTATTTATTTATTTTAGTGCTTCCAATTTCTCTATGAGAACAAGGACTGACCTGGTGGCAAGAGAGAGGTTATAGTGTTGCGTATTGCTTATCGGTGCAGTTTCCCTACTTGAGACCCTCAGTTCAGTCTCTTTTCTAGCGATGCCCAGTTGTTACATCTCCTCGCCAGGTCTCTGCCCTGAGTCGGTGTGTCTGACTGCCTATGCCATAACTTCACTTGGACGTCACATAGAAGCTCTGAGTTCACCTGTACAAAGCAGAACAACTGATTTCTCCCAACACTCATGCCAATGTTTCCAGTGAAACTCACATCACATGTAGAATCCTCGTGCTTCCTTCACTTAACATTGAGGTTGTTGCCCCACTGCTGGGATGGGAGGGTCATTGCTGTGGCACTTTGGGGTGAACTTTTACTTTTTGTAGTGCTTCCAATTTCTCTGTGACAATAAGGACTGACTTGGTAAGGACAGGGAATGACATATTAATAACATGTCATTGATTAGCCAATGCTATCAATGTCACCTTCACAATGTAGCAGAAATTCATTCACTTCTTGCCATTTCCACTGCTTTTACCTTATTCCAGAACATCACCATCCAACGCCTCATACCCAGCTTAGTCTCTTTGTGTCTGTTTGATTACCCAGCATCCCGTTCTCCACACAGCTATCAGAATTATGCATAGCTTTGATCAGAGTTGAGAAAAGGCTATGGGACCTGACCCAGTTACTGTTTAGACTATTGATCCATTGGAGTGACACAGGTTATTAGGAGTGAGCTTACCTAAGGAGCAGGTAGAACTCTTCTGGAATGATATCTCTTCTATATGGAGAAGTTAATTGGCTTTAAGCTTTAAAAACCTTTGGCTGAAAAGATGTGTTTATCGCACATCACACCCTAACCACAGGATAGCAGCCTCTGTGCCTGTTTAATGTGACCCATATATGCACAGTAGAAGTCTCCAAGCTCAACTGTCCTCTACCCTCACTTTACAGTGGGAGAATAAATGAATTAAATCCAAAGATTGAATCTGCTACTTTCTGCAGGGCCAGAAGCCACCCTTGAGAATCCCTGCATATACATTGCTAAAATGCCACTCCATAGCCATTGTGTTCTCGGCCTCAAGGGATGAAATGCTCCGACGGAGGTCAAAAGACAAAATAGAGTTCTCTAATCCACAGCCAGGCAACAGAAGAAGGAATCTGATCCTTTTCCGGAGGAGATAAGTTATATAAATGGAACATAATAGATGCCAAATTGCTTTTGTTGTGTGCTATTTTCTTCAAATTCATTTAGTTGGTATATAAAATGAAACTGGAATTTATTTCAGATTTTGAGGTGTTTTGCAAAGTGCCAAGTGGAAATGGGGTAAGACCGGGAACAGTGCAAAAAATGGCCTTTGCCTGAGACTCTCCCTAGTCTGCTTTTATTTCTATGTCCATGAGAAGAGAGATCTTCAAGATTATGTATAATTCAAGTCTATAAACCAGATTCAACAGATAGTTTTCAGGCTAAAGAAATTCTCTGTGGTGTTCATTTTAGTAATTTTAGAGTCTAGGTTTTATGTGGAGTCATGACTTTGGGGTGTTTACACTTCTTTTCTTTTTTTAAAATTGGACTATATGTTCTTAATAGTTGGATGCAAACACAACATTTTGAAGGAAGGTGGAAGGCTAACTGCTAGTGTGAACATTCAGTTTTCAATGTCATGTCACCTTAATCAGACACACACCTGAATGATCACTATTCTCCCTGTCAACAGAAAAGGATAGATAGCAGGGTGGAGGTCGTATGACTCGCAGAGTAAACAAAATCATAGGAAAGAGGGAAATGGACTTCATTGCCACATGTTCAGTAATAAAGGTTAAATTATGGTATTTATCGCTCCAGCAATGTGATTCCAAAAGTACATTTATATGCTTTGATCAATTAAGTGTGTTCAGCCAGTCTTCCTCAGATTTAAAATGAAAGAATTAAAAGTCTGGCACAATGTTCTCTAGGATTATAGTCTTTTATCAAAGATAACAGCCCGTGTTCCATTATCGAACACTCTGGAGTTCTCCCAATCTGTTGCCTTTGGAAAGAAGAATGACAAAATTCAAATTTCAAATGCAGCCAGAGAATGAATAAAGGGTAGAGATGATTCAGCCTGGAGAAAATATGAGTTTTACAGTTGGAGAATTACTGTAAAACAAGCCTCTCTGTTGAAGCTGTCAACACAAACATCCAGCACAGCTCAGAAAGGTCATGTATTAATCTGCTCTCATGCTGTTAAGAAGAAATACCCAAGACTGGAAAATTTATAAAGAAAAAGAGGTTTAATTGACTCACAGTTCTGCAAGGCTGGGCAGGGGGCGGGGAGTGCTCAGGAAACTTACAATCATGGCAGCAGGCACCTCTTCACAGTGCAGCAGGAGAAAGAATGAGTGCTGAGCAAAGGGGGAAGCCTTTTGTAAAACCACCAGATCTGTGAGAACTCACTCGCTATCACAAGAACAGTATGGGGAAACTGCCCCCATGATTCAGTTATCTCCACTTAGTCCCACCCTTGACATGTGAGGATTATCACTATTCCAGGTGAGATTTGCTTTGGGACACAGAGCCAATCCAGGTCAGGCTCGTGAGAGAAGACTGAATGAATATGGATTTCTAAATCTTTTGATTGGTCATAAAAAAGGAAGAAGACTACCTTTGTAAAGGCAAAAGAAGCTTCTTACATATTGAAATATATCACACTTATTTAATTTTTATCTGTAAATTGAGATAGGAAATGGCATGAATAAATGGTAGCTTTTGAATAATTCCTGGTCTTTATATTGTAGAATGAATATAGATTAGAAGATTACATAGATATGTCTCAGAAGGGTACTATATTGACCTAAAAATCCTTTACTTGGTGTGCAGTTCTATTTACTGAGGCGGGTAGATCATGAGGTCAAGAGATCAAGACCATTCTGGTCAACATGATGAAAACCTGTCTCTACTAAAAACACAAAAAAATAGCTGTGCATGGTGGTGCATTCCTGTAGTCCCAGCTACTTGGGAGGCTGAAGCAGGAGAATTTCTTGAACCCAGGAGGCAGAGGTTGCAGTGAGCCGAGATCGCACCACTGCACTCTAGCCTGGGTAACAAGAGCGAAACTCGGTCTCAAAAAAAAAAATTGTGAATTGTTTTTAAATGTTTATGTTTTCTAAATATTAAGCCCATGGAAACAAAAACACCAGGATAATTCTGTAATAAAGTATAAAACCTACTATTTTGTCTTGCTTCATCTAGAGCAGATCATACAACAATATGAGCAGTGATGACTGGGAATTGCCTGCTATTGATCATGAAGAACCAGGTTAGTGGTTTTTGTCTTTAACAAACAATGTTTGAAAGATATAAATAAGTCTACGCTTTGAGATGTGTTTATTGTAGTAAAGATATGTGCTTTTGAGAAATTCCTAAAACAGAAATTTTAATCAAAGAGTCCAGTATATCTATTAACTTTTGTGCACAGGGATATGCCAATTTGATGTTTAAAAGCAACATGTTCCTTGCTATCAACCAAATGGTTCTGTTATTCCAAAATTCATATGTTGAAGCTGTAAACCCCCAGTGTGATAGCAGTTGGAGATGGGCTTTTGGAAGGTAATCAGGGCTCGATGAGGTCATGGGGATGAGTGCCTCATGATGGGATTAGTGTGTTGATAGTAAAAGCCAGCAGAGAGCTCACCATCTTCTCAGTGCACATGCGCTGAAAAAAAAGTTATCTGAGGGAAAGGCAAGAAGGACCATCTATTAACTAGGAAGTGAGACCTCAGCAAAACCAAAGCATCTTGGTGCCCTGACTTCCACAAACTGCAAGAAATAAACGTCCATTGTTTAAACCACTCAGTCAGTGTAATTTTGTCATGGCAGCCCCTAACAAACCTCCTGAATATGCTCCCATGTTATGATCTATGTCCTGCATTCCAAGAAGTAGAATATATTTGAGAAGCAGAATTTGGATGAGTTATTTATTGTACTAAATCAGCTATTTACTTATAGCCTTAGTTTTCCCCCAAAAGGTTTGAGGTGACGAGGACAACACAAGCTGTTGTTATAGTTTGCAGATGTTCAGCAGCACACAGTGGCCTGTGCTGTGTGTTTCCGACAACAGTACATCCAAGAACTTACACACAGAGTGAGTCTGACGATGGAATTTTTCTACACCGCAGTGGTTTTACGTTGGTTTTATATGCAATAATAATGTGTCCTTTCTTGTTCTTGAGGAGGCTCTGGTACCAAGAAGCAGAACTACGTTTAGGAAATGGAAGCTCTTCCATAGGGCTCCTGACTTTTGGAGCCAGTAAGGATGAGAATTAGTGGCAGCAGCCTTCACTGCAAACTTGCTTGGTGTTGGTTTTGTTGTTCTTCCTGGCACACACTATAATAACCCCTTCTTCTGATGAAAGAAGACAGGAAAATTTCACTGACTTTTGATGTTGAACATAAAGCCAAATTATAAACATTAAGATTGTAGCTATAATCAGACCACCAGAAATGTCAAATGAATATCTCTGCCACTGTTATTTGTGAAAAATTTGCATTTTATATATGTATTTGAGGATATGTATATTTTCTCAAGAAATTGCCTGTTACATATTTCAGAGTGTATCTATATTTGCATTTTTCTTATCAGTGCCCTTTAGAAAAAGTTTGTGAATTTTTACCAAGGGTATTTATGTTATTATACATTTGAATAGGTTTACTTTCCCAGTATTTTTATTGTTTCTGTTCTTTTTCTTTTTGAATGGAATTATTTTTTTACTATATGTTTAATTTACTGTTGCTGAAAGTATCTACCATTTTAAAATATAGTTCTGGTCTATTAAACCCAACCAATTTTAATTAACAAATTCTCTTGAATTTTTAATGTAGGCAGTCATATCGTTTAATGGTGATTTTTATCATTTTATCCCAAACTTTTTGTTGTCTGTTTGATGCATCATTCTGTTGGCTATGTTGTCTGGTATAATTGGTATAATGTTGAATGTTGATATTATTTTTAGACATTCTTCTTTTTTCTATCAAAGAATGCATCAAAAATTACTTTTTTCTTTTTTGGCTAACACCATTGTCAGGTTAATGACTATTATGTCCAGTTCTAGTCAACTTCTTTATAGTGAATATTTAAATTTTGTGAAACATATTTGCATATATCAAGATGGTCACTTTTTAAAAAATTATTGCGGGCATAAATTGCATTATTCAATTTGTAGAATGAAATAACCTTGTGCATCTAGGCTATCACTACTTGGTTAGGATATTACTTTTTTTCTTTTCCCTACCTTTTTTTTTTTTCTGAGATGGAGTCTTGCTCTGTTGCCCAGTCTGGAGTGCAGTGATACAATTTCAGCTCACTGCAAGTGATTCTCCTGCCTCAGCCTCCCAAGAAGCTGGAATTACAGGCATCTGCCATCACATCTGGCTAATTTTTTTTTTGTATTTTTAGTAGAGACAGGGTTTTACCATATTGGCCAGGCTGGTCTCAAACTCCTGACATCAGTCGATCCACCCTCCTTGTCCTTACAAAGTGCTGGGATTACAGGCTTAGCCCACTGCACTTGGCCAAGGTATTGTTTCTAAAAATATAATACCAAATTAAATGTAACTAATATTTTTAGGGAGAACTTTTGCTCTCTTCAGTGTTGCAAGACTTGTGAAATAAGTTAGGAAATCTTCCTATGTTTTTCATTTTCACGAAGTGTTGGCCTAAGATTG